TCCTCTCACACCCATGTGTGCAGGGCCCCAAAGGATCACCATTAAATTTGGCACATATCTCTAAAAAAATCAAGTCTCACACCCATGTGATAACTTTTCTAAATATCTGTGCTAAATTTAAAAGTAATCATTTAGGGTCTTACACACATAGGTGTGAGAAGGTCTCATAGGATCATTATTATATATATATATATGGATAATCTAAACTTCACTACCTTTCAACTCACAAAGGTTTAAGATATAAAGAGTTGTGAAAAGTGGATTTATTAATTTTGTAGTTTATGGTGATGAAATTTTCACTCCCCCACCACCCAAAAGGCCACCACAAGAGATAAAAATATTTTCTAACTACAATAATATTTGGGATAAGGATTTGACGAGGACCATGATGATTACTTTTGCGGGAGGGATGCAATACACTTACTCCCTCCGGTTAGGGACTTACTTGGGAGAATTATTTTTATTTGTGAATTTGGTACCCATCTAAGAATCATAAAAAATTATTACAAAAGAAAACGAAATATTGGATTTTTAGTTTTTCAACTGTTGGATCTCATCCTCCTGTGTCCTCCCTTTTATCGTAAAACATTATTTTATTTGTGAATTTGGAATCCATCTAAGAATCATAAAAAATTATTGCAAAATAAAACAAAATATTGGATTTTGAGTTTTTTAACACTTGGATCTCATCCTTCAAAACTAAGGTGTCTTCCCTTTAATCTTAAAACATTAATTTTTCAGGAGTAATGATCCTATAGGACCTTCCTTTACCTATATATGTAAGACCTCAAAGGATCACTGTTAAGTTTGACACGGATCTCTAAAAAATTTATCACGTGAGTATAGGACTTGATTTTTCTATAGATCCGTGCCAAATTGAATAGTGATTATTTGAGGGCCTACACACATATGTGGGAAGGGACCTATAGGATCATTTCTCTTTTTTCAGACTCATATAAAGTGCAATTTGATTTCTTTTTTATATTTTTTTATTTATATTTTTTGTTTTGAGTTTAGCCTCTAGGTCGGAGAGGTTATATCCCTTCTAAAACTACTCTTATATTGAGCTTGACCTGAGAGAGTGAATAGAAAGAATGCTCTTGTGGAAGCACATAACCATTTTGACTTTACCGATGACCCTTAACTGGCTTTCCTCGCAGCTCCTAAATCGATTCACAAGTACTGAACACAGTTCCGGCCTCGAATCAGGCAACGACCAAGGCAAGAAAAGCATATACGAGAGAGATATGAAAATGGCCATCGTCTACACACGCTCGATACAAAGCATCATCAATGCATTCCCAAACATGGAGACCCTGGTGAACTGCTCTTTCCTCGAGCACACTTTCTCCACCATCTCCATCGACGAATGTCCACCTCTAAGGAGATCGGTTCGAGCCTTGTGGTCATCCATGGCTTGTCTCTCTACATTCATGGTTGTACTCCTTTTGGTATGGGTAGCAATAGCTCATCAAGACCAGAGAGAATTCTCACATAACTTCATAGTACCCCATTTATCACCTCTCGGATCTCCGAAGCTGGAGCTCCGAGGAGAACCCTAGCTTTCAAATACTGAGCGAGTGAGAGAGAGAGATTGATTTACAAAAAAAAAAAAGGAAGTAGACCCTAGAAAGTATAGCAACTAAAGAGATCAAGGACTTTCCGAAGGAAAGCTGAACAGATAGAAGTATAGATAGATAGATTTTGACAGAGTATAACAAAATGGAGAGATGGAGACTCGGTCCTCCAAAAGTTTTTCTTTCCGATTCCAGTGTCAAGACAAATGTAATTTGTTGTATGCTTTTAAATTCTCATTTTCCCCAACAGAGATCACTGAATGTAGAGATCAAACAGTTGTATAAATAAATCTTTTATTTTTTTGAATAATGAATATTCAGGGAAAAAAATGTCATTCAAAAAAAATATCTGAGTTAAAATCAGTTCGAACATTCTTCTCACGAATTCTCACTATGATTAATTGATGACTAGCGAATTCTCATTATGATCAGCTGATAAAACTGCTTTCTCTTCAGCAGTTCCCCCTCAAATTTGTTACCTTTCATTTCGATTCAAAACAAAACCTAAGCCAAGTTAAAACCAAAGGAAAAGGAAAAAGTTTATGTAAGGTTGCAACCTTACCCCCTCCATTTTGGAGGATGTAGACTTAACATTATTTTAAAAGACGTGTTATGTATTGATACTATGTTAAAAGGCATGCCAAATTTACATTATCTAAGTAAAATTGACAGTTTTAAATATCACAGCCTTATTTCTACGAATAAAGTTGCAAGTTTGCAACGTTATACAAACCAGACCAAAAACTTTCATATTATTCCGGGTGCTTATGTACAACAATGAGTGCCCCTTTTTCCCAATTATTGATGAAAATAAAACAAAGTTGGGATGAAGATAAAACTAAAGTTGGGAGATGAGAATGAGGTCTTGGAAATTGGTTCTTATTTCATGAAATAGAGATTAGGAAGTCAACGATTGCATGGCTTGGATTTGTGCATACCACTGGTAGTTATGTTAAGCGAGTACTCCAAACTTAAACTGAAAAACGTTATATCCGGTGCTACCCATGTATAAATCGTATGTAACAACTATTCCTGGCCATCTATTTCGCTTTAGCCATACTTTTGTGACATTGTTTAGTTTATACATGTTTTATACATTTTTTATATATATCATCTTTACATAAGTTTTGGGATGTGCCCTTGACTTACAGGGTTGCACGTCAAAAAACTTTAAAATATGTTTTTAGTAAATTCATCATCAACATCATTTTGGCTTTTTTCTAGTTAATAATGTTCGGCTACATGAATCTATCCTCAGTGAGTCCTCGTATCTTTAAAAGTCATATCTTCAGGCCATAAGTCCCCATATCTAAAAAAAGAAAAATTTATATAGAGCCGAGGTTCAAAACTATCAAATTAGAGCCTACATCAAAAATTTCACTAGAAAATGTTGTTTTGATGCTCAAATATCTTCAAATTGATCATCTCAACATCAAGATACATGGGCATGAGAAAAAAAAAGGAATTTCAAGTTTTGAAAATAGTATATTTTGTACTGTATTTTTGGACTATCAATTTTCAAAATTTTCACGTTTTCATAGATATGTCGATCTACACTACGTTGTAAATTGATTTTAGAGCCATTATGTTGTTAAAGTGCTTTCCAAATGAGAATTTGAAGTGAGCCTTTATTTTGTTTTTGTAAATCCTTAAAGAAACTTCATCCTTATATTTGTAAACACTCGTGGTCCATGCATTCTCTCCCTATAACAGGATATCATAACCTCTCTACTAGAATAAATATCCTACTTGCCACACTACTGGATGCAAATCAATGTTTGAAAACTCAGATTAATATGATGGATCAGTCTTGGATCATTGGATCGGCGATCCAAATATGTCTAGATCAGCTTAAATTGGTGACAAAAAAAGTTAAAAATAAATAAAATCTAATAAAAATAAAAATAAATCTATGGGATAGAGATTTCAAGGGATCTAAAACAATATTAAATAATCTTATAAAAAAAAAAAATTATAATACTTAGATGTTTATATTTATATGCATCTCACTCTAGAAGACCAACCTTTTACTTGGCTTGCATGTCCTGCTCATCTCTAGGAGACACTCATTTTTACCAAACCCACCGTTTCTAGGCCAGAGCGCGTCTCTCACATAAGAGAAAGAAACACCAACATATTCATATTCGTATTCATAGAGAAGACAGAAAACTACTGATAGCTAAGAAAACTACTGATACCTGTAGTATAAACCCAAATCACAAAAACCTAATCCTAATCCCTATTCCCCACAACTATAACCCCGAAAGCCATGGCCTTGCAAGTTGCAACTAAATCCCCAAATAAGGGTGGAAGGCCAAGCTTTAGCAGAGCTTCACCCAGCCTTAAAGTTTAGCCTTCCACCCAGCCTGCAAGGCTTACAGACCTTAAACTAAGCCCCGCCAAGCAGGCCTATCAAGGGTCCAGAACCCAACTCATGCCAGTCTGGACCTTCAAAGCCCTCCAGCCTGCCCAGTCCACTGATCAAACGCGCCTTAAATTCAGGCTTAGTCTGGAACGGTTGGCCCTGTGAAGAGCTCCAAACCCAACCCATGTCGGGTCGGGTCGGGCATTTGGCCCTTGGCCTGGCACGCCTGACCCAGGCCAATTAAACTCACTCTTTCAGTAGACTAGAAACAATTATTTCCCCTCTCCTCTCTGTCACTTTCGGGTTTGTTCTCACTCTACACAAATTATCAAGACCTGTCTCTCTCAACATTTTCCAATTTGGTTTTCCCTTCTCCTGCCCATATTTTACTTTCTCTACCCAAGGCCATCTCCCTAATTTTCCCATCTCCTTAATAACTTTTCTTTCTATTCCTGAGCCATCTCCCCAATTTTCCCCATCTCCTTAACAACACTTTCCTCTCTCTAGCAGCCAAACAACCTCAAACTTAAAATACAATATCTGAAAAATCACATTTATGGACATTAGCAATTTTCACGTAAAATATACATCTACTTTCATTTGCAGCCAAAGAAGGGGCAAATTGTTTATCTTCTGTAGTTTTATCAACATGAAATGCTATAAAATTTAGAAAAAAATGATAAATTCAATATATCTTGCTGATAAATTTCGTTTATTTGTCTTTTAGCATTTGGTTGGACAGCTTAGATAGTATTTTTAGCATTTATTTTCTGGACAAGCAATAAATACATGACGAAGTGAAAAAGAAAATTGTTAAGGCTGAGTATAAACTGTAACCGGAGGGAGATCAATATACCTGAGTGATTCAAAAATAGCCGATCCAACTCAGAATACTCATATCAAAACAAAGAGGTGGACCAGGCCAAAGGTAGCTCATCAGACTTGGAAATCGTCTGAATCTCACCCAAAGAATCAAAATCAAGCCAGATTCCAGTTTTATAAACATTGCTTCCTTTAACTTTGACATGATATGGGAAGATCAGCTTTTTGTACCTCCAATAGATAGTAAATAGGTACTATTATCAGGATTTTCTACACAACTTACCGCAATTCATGCACACGTGCAAACAGAGGAAAATAATAGTACAAAACCTTTTTAATACTCCATCCAAACTAGAGCTAAGAGTGATGCTCTTCGTAAGGCACCCAAAACAAATACAAAAACAAAAACAAAATAAGGATAGGAAAAAAAAAAGGTGGATTCCATTACTCCAAATTCATAACAATGACAGATGGTTAGGACTTTTACAGGGTAAATCTGTCAACTTAAATCTGAACTGTCCAAGCAAACAAGACAATATCCACACCCATTCATTCAAGCACCAGCTCAGATCTCATTTTCCTATCCTTCAGTTTCCTGCCAAGCAAATGTCTTTTTTCAACTCTTGACCAATGAAACCTGTGCCTTACTTTTTAGCCATTGGCTCCGCATTACTACACCAATTCTCAATCCAAAAAGGAATAAGCCCAAGTCGCATAGGGATTGTTAGCTAGGCAATTATGGTTCCATGGTTTTAAAATTAACCTGATTATCCCATTCTCAATTTATTAAATACAACCAAAAACCTAGGGAATCATCCGAGTCGGACAGGTCCAATCAGAACCACACCCCACAAGTTAGAGCCTAATTCTGATTTTTGAATATTAAGCGAAACAGACCATGAGAGAGAAAGAGTCTTAGTTAATTTCTTCTTCATATTTCTAGAATTTGGTTGAGTCACCTCGGACTCAGCCACGTAACTCGGCCTCAACACCCTGCCCAGGGGAGTTCTATTAACAAATTTGGTTTTGTTAAAATCTCTTAAAAATTTTGAAAATATGGTACTAAATCACCAATAAATGATGTATTGATGTCTTTCTTACACAATTCTTATGTTTTTTATGCCTTATTTGTGAATTTTTCTTATTATTTTATTTTTCTATGTTTTCCTTTTTTGAAATTTTCTGAATTGTTTCAAGCTATAAATCAGTTTTTTCCATAATTCATCTCCTGTATACTTGTTTTGTATACTTCTAATGTTGTTTATAAAAAAAAAAATTACTATTTTAAATTATTTTTAACAACTTTTTTGTATTTTTTTCCAATTTTTTAGCCCTTTTAGGGCTCAGACTCTGGCCGATGATTTTTTTTCTATTTTTTTTCCTTTTTGGATTTTTCTGAATTGTTTCAAGCTATAAATCAGTTTTTTCCATAATTCATCTCCTGTATACTTGTTTTGTAGACATCTAAAGTTGTTTATAAATCTTTTTTACTATTTTAAATTATTTTTAACAACTTTTTTGTATTGTTTTCCAAGTTTTTAGCCCTTTTTGGGCTCACTCTCGGCCGAGTTACTCGGCTCGGGTAGGAGCGGAGTCCCGAGTGCAAGCTCATAAATTGAACATTGGCTGTTTAAGAAAAATTTCATCTATTGTAAACAAAATGAAGTCAATTGTTCATAATTTTCATTCATAAATTCACAAGTAAACATGCAATAAAAAGCAATTCGCGCTTATTCTTATTTATGATATATAACCTCCAATTTGCAATGGAAAATAAATTTTTCTGAAAAATCTCAATAAATTTTGAGCAATAATCTTCAGTCCAGAAAAAAAATGAGAGACAAATAATACCATTGACAATTCGGAGTTCTGGCCAGCCATGGCTTCGACCTTCGAAACCCTAATTTCTAGGGCGTCCTGCCTCTCTTTGATCTGAGAAATCAAAAGAAAAATATCTCAAAAGTGGAGAAAAACCACTGAATTTCCAGTTAAAAAATGGAAAATACAGAGGACGAATTGAAAACTAAAAATTAATAGGGAAGAATTAAGGAATGAGAAGTCGGAAAAAAAACCAAACAATTTATTGCAGAAAAAAGGGCGAAATACAGAGAAGAAAAGGGAAGATGGAATCAAAATGTAGGGTCAATTTCAATAGAAAGCTATGGTTTTGAAAGTTTACCATTGAAGAGAGAGAAGAATAAGATTTCCATAAATCCTTCCACATGAAATGCGTAATGGCGGCCCCTGCAACTGTAAACCCTAGAGAGAAAGAGAGTAGCCGAGTTCTCAGCATTTTTTCAGAGCATGTGGTTCTTAACAGAACCTCTAGTTGAATATAAATGCGAATATGACGAAACTACCCCCACGCACTTTAATAAATTGTAGAAAAAGTCCTATCATCCATGAAGGTGTGGTTTGTATAAGGTTGCAACCTCAAACAATCCGATTAAGGTGCACCTCTACATTTTATCATAAATGTAAATTTCATAGCAAAAATTTTTAAGGTGGTTTGAGAATCTATTTTCATTTTTAATTATAAAATTTTTAATTTTTAAAATAGTATAAATCAAATAGATCTACAAATACACAAAAATCTTGAAAATGGACGAACCAGATAATATGTTTCAAGATACACTATTTCATAAACTTAAAATATTTTTTTCTTTCATATCAATACATCTAGATGTCGAAATAATTAATTTGTTTTTCAACATCCAAACAACCTTCCATGATAGATTTTCGAGGTGCATATTTAATTTTACATTTTAAAGTTGCAACCTTATATAAACTTTTCGCTTCCCCTAAATGACAAAATTGGTAATCCGTCACCGTATGGTCGCTGGCCGGACTAGAGCAAATCGGACCAGTCATAGACCGGTTCGGGCAAATAAAAAAATTGTTAAATTGTTGATATCATTATGGATCAGCTAAATAAAAATATAAATAAAATTTAAATATTGTTAAATATTTAAACTAGGGTACAGTTTGTATAGAGCAGTGGCTCTAAACAATTAAAACAAAGCACACCTTCAATAGTATCGCGAATTGTGGTTTCAATACTGAAAATCTTTGTGATAGCCTTAAAATATATTGTCATCTTTAATTATAAAATTTAAAGCTTCAAGAATAGTGTAGATCGCACTAATCTATGAAAACTTGAAATTTGACGGTCAAAAAAATTGCTACAAGATGCACTATTTCTAAAACTTGAAATCCACTTTTTTCTCATGTCCATGCATCTTGATATCAAGATGATCAATTTGAGGACATTTGCGCGTCAAAACAACCTCTTCTAGTTAATTTTTTTAGGTGGGCTCTAATTTGATTGTTTAGAGCCTTGTTTATATAAACTTTTCCCTTTAAACAAAATATATGAACTTCAATCATTATAAAAAAAACATTATTATAAAAATATTAATATTGTATTGAGTGGAGTCCTGAAATGGGGAGAAAATTCGACAGTTATCGATGAGTTCCAAAATAAATATATATATATATAATGAGACCATTTATTTTTAGTACAAGATGGTCACAATCAATACTAACCATTGGATATGAAGTTGAGTGGCTGCATTTATTCTATTCGCCAAACTCAAAGTTCAAAAAATAAATCTTTAACTTTACGACACACCCAAGCTATCAGATTTCACATTGGATGGTTGTAAGTAATTGTAATATTTTTGTACCAAAAGTAAATAATCTCATTGTATATAATACCAAATGAAAAATTGTTATCATAGAGAATGAGGTTGTGGAGAGTAGAAGTGTGTGATCGGATCATCTCCTACTTATATGGTAATGAAGATATCGAGTTTAGGTTAGAGGCCGAGCCATGAAGAGTTGTCTCATTATTGCTCATTTTATTATAATCTTGATAATTACGGCCTTTTAAAAAAAACGAAGGTATTATGGTAAAATATTACGGGTAGAAACGTGAACAGGGTTTATTGGTCGCATTTTTAAAGGTTGATGGGGGTAGCATTGGCAATGGCCCGGCCTGGTCAACCCACCCCCGAGAAGCTAAGGCTCAAGCCCTTAAATGTAGCATGGCATTCAAGGCAGGACTAGGCCATCATGGCCCAAGAGTCATGCCAAGGCCAGTCTTGGGTCAAGGCCACCACAGGGGCGGCACCCTCACCTTGCTCGGCTATGTGTTTTCATTTTATTTTTTTTCTTATTTTTTTTTTTTTTTTTGGAGTCTATTAGGCCTAAGCTGAACTAATCCAAGAATGTACCAAGGCACTTTTAGCTCGGTCTAGGCTTGGGCCGGCCATAGTCCTATATGGACCTAGTTCGGGTTGGTCCCGAGGCAACATGGCCCAGGGACGCCCTGTTGCTGTGGCATTTACAGAGAGGGCATTAGAAAATTAAAATTATGAGAGTGTTCACGTATTTTCCCATTAATAAATCCAAAGTACAGGACTAAAAGGATTAATGGGAGTCAGCCCAGCTTTACCCTGAAAAATTAAGACTTAGGCCAAAAATGTGACACCGAGAGTCAATCCACCATGACTTTTGAGGCCCAGGTGGGCCATGGCGTAGGCAATGACTGAGCTAGCCAGGCCCAACCCATTTTGTCCTAATTTTTATTGTTTTTTTTGTCTGGGTCTATTGGGCTTCGCCTAGCACAATTAGGGCCAAAGCCAAGGCCGGGTTAGGCTCGGATTGGCCTATAAAGACCAAAGGTCAAGCTAAGGCTAGAGCTGCCGCAATATAAGACCCCTGTCGAGAGCCCTAAATTATTTATTGGCACTTGTATGAGTTCACTTCATCATCAAATTGTTTGTTTCACGAGAACGTCCAATGTTGTCTGATTCGTTACGGAGTCTTCTTCGAGTCGATGAGTTGATGAGAAGAATAAAGCACTCATCGACTCGAAGGATAAAGCAATTCAATGCTTCGGCCAATTTGGGGGAAGGATTTGGATTTTCAAAAATTTTAATATAAATAAATTAAATATTTATATATAAAAAGTACAAAAAAAAAAAAAACTAAAGATTTCAAAAAAAAACTAAAAACTAATTTTGTATAAATATTTTTTATATTAAGCCGAAAAAGCCCGAAGCTGACCGAAGTAGGTCAAAGCTAACTTTAACGGTTCAAGCAACAGCACCAAGCTTTACTTGGCTTCGTTTAGGCGTTAAATCCAAAGGGTTGGACCGAAGAGCGAATCTGACAACAATGAGCACGCCGAGTGCCGGAGCAGATACAGTGAACCCTAATCATCCACGCTGTAGTATCCTCCTGGTGTACACAAATGGGTGAAATAGAAATGCATCGCCCCTAAAATCCTTGTTCATTCTCACAGTCCTTACACAACTAATATGCATTAGAAGAAAGATTCAATCCTTTTATAGATATGTGAAAGAAAATCTGTGGGTGTTCCCGCCAAACCATCTATATATGCCTCGTACTTTAGCCGGAAAACCACTCACCAGTTACCATACCATACCATGGCCAGCCTCAAAACCCTTGCTATCGTACTGTTCATATTTTCCACTTCTCTGATATTCCGGCCATCCATTGCCGGAACGATAGGCGGATTGCGGCTAAAGGTTACGCATCGCGACTCCCCTGACTCCCCCTTTTACGAGCCAAATGCCACTGACTATGACAGGGCAAGGCTCGCCTTCGACCGCTCGCAGTCTCGCGCCTGCTATCTCAAGCGGGCTCTCGAAGGAAAATCTCTGGTCACCGGATACTCGCCCTCGAGTATCAAATCTTCTCCTTTGAATGTTGATGGTGAGTACATTGTAACAGTCCTGATCGGGACCGATCAGCAGGAAGTTCCACTAGTCATGGACACTGGGAGTGACCTCACATGGACCCAGTGCGACCCGTGCAAGATCTGCTTCAAGCAGCCGGTTCCACTTTTCAGACCTGCCGGTTCGGGGACCTACGAGCAGCGTGACTGCACCGATCCCCTGTGCAAAGATGTAAATCCGGGCTGCTCAGGGAAGTGCACATACCAACAAACTTACCTGGACGGATCAAAATCGAGCGGGAACTACGCCACCGAAGTGTTCTTCTTCAAATCAGCTGAATTTGGGCTTGTCAATGCTAGACCAGTAGCGTTTGGATGTGGTGACAACAATGTCGGTATGTTCGACGGTCATGCGGCAGGGGTACTGGGTCTAGGGGGAAATCCGCCCTCCATTGTCAGCCAATTTGGCGACACACTCGGCCACGTATTCGCGTACTGTGTCCTTTCATCACTCGAGCCGGGATTGCTAGTCCTTGGCCCTAGCTTCCACAGGCCTCAAGAGGGGCTCCAAAAGACTCCACTCCACTCATCCACGCCTTATATCCTCGAGCTCATGGACATCAGTGTCGGGGGAGTGTCCATTGGCGTTCCCCCGGGAACATTCGATCCAACGAAAACAGATCAGGCTTTCGTCATCGACTCCGGCATCTGGTACTCCTACTTGCCCCAAGATGTCTACAACAAGGCCGTTGCTGCTGTGAAAAACGCAGTCCATTTTCCGGAGCTCGGCCTCCCGTTCGGGCCATTCGGCCTCTGTTACAATGTGACCACTCCAAGTGACATTCTTCGCTTTCCGGAGTTCACTTACCACTTCTCCGGCGACGCCAACTGGAGGGTGGGCCCTCAGAATATGTATATAGGGGAGGAAAACAATGTGGTTTGCCTTGCTGTGGCTCCTGACCAGAAATTAGGTGCTCTTGGCATAAGGGCACAACGTGATACATATGTGGAGTACAGCACATTGAGAGGAGTCCTTAATTTTGGTCCGGCAAATTGTGCAGAATTGTAAGTTTTTTTTTGTTTTTGTTTTAGTAAATAAGTTGGGGGAAGGCCTGTATTCGCTTTTCATTAATAAAGATTAGAAAATACAACTCATAATTTTACTATGCGGTAGGGAGTACAACACTTTGAGAGTGTGAAAGGAAAGTAAATATTGTGTATCCAGTTAATATAGAACGGGTACATTGTAGTCAATAAAGGGAAAAGTTTATATAGAGCCGAGACTCTAAACAATCAAATTTGAGCCTACCTCAAAAATTTCCCTAGAAGAGGTTGTTTTGATTCTCAAATATCTTCAAATTGATCATCTCGACATCAAGATGCATCGACATCAGAAAAAAATAGATTGCAAGTTTTGGAAATAATATGTATTCTGTAATGCATTTTTGGACCGTCAATTTTCAAGATTTCAAGTTTTCATAGATATATCAATATACACTATTTTTGAAACTTTAAACTTTATACATAAATATGAAAATATACTTTAAGGCTGTCACAAAGGTTTTCAATATTGAAACCACATTTCTCGACACTATCTGAAAATAGGCTCTAATTTGATTGTTTAGAGCCTAGGCTCTATACAAACTGCACCCATCAATAAATATGGGAAGGGCAGGATATTGTATCCTATATTTTATGGTAAGTCTGTGTATAGTTTAGATGTCTATGATTTAGTTTCTATTATTTCATTTGTAAGTTGTTTTTAAAAGACAACTAATATATTCATATTGATAAGTGGACATTGAGTCTCTTCAGAGAAACTTTAGACTATTCACAGAGAGGAGATTTTAATTTTGGTCCTGCAAATTGTGTAGAAATATAGGTTTTTTTTTTTTTTGTTAAATCAGTGGGGGAAAGTATGTAACCGTTTTTCATTAATAAAGATTAAAAAATACAACTCAAAATTTTACAACGCGTTGCGATAGGGCATCTATGCCAAATGTTTTATGAGTGTTATGGGTATGAATGCTTGATGAGGTTATAGTCTTATTTTAGAGACTACTTTCTTGTTTAAATGGTTTTTACAATTCTATCATTGTGAGTGCACTTCAAAGGATGACATCATATCTGATACTTTGGAAACTTAAATATTTTGTAATATATTTCTCAAATTTAAAATTTAGAGTCTATCACTTAAATCCCTTCATTCTTTAAATGGTAAATACATTGTGTCTAAAACGTTAATTTTGAAATTGACATTTCTGACACTCATATTTGTATCAAATGCTTCTTTCTTTTTATGAAAGTTCAAAATTTATTAATAAAAGAAGAACTTACAGAATAGCGAGAATATCATCAAAGGTTACCAACAAGTCAAGCACTACTCTCATTTTAGCCAAGGAGTCTACCAGATCATTTGTTTCTCTATAAACATGAGTCAAGGACAGAGTCAAAGAAGACATCAGATCGAAGATCTGATTCCCAATCATCTTGAGTTGCCACAGGAAGCGTTGTTCTTTCTTGTACCACTTAATCACGTTCATCCAATCCCCTTCAATGATGATACCCTCCACGGAGTTTCTAGCCACTAAAAATTTCAGACCATGAAGAATAGCAAGAAGCTCAGCTCTATTTGCGGTTGCAATTCTGCATGGACCAGCATATTCGAGAATAACATTTCCTTGCCAATCCCGGATAGTTTCACCAAAACCAGCTGGGCCTGTGTTGCCTAGCGAGCTACACTTTCCTACCTCAGAACCATGTAGCCACGACCAAAGAGAAAGTTTGATATTATTAAGAACCCTATCAAAGCTACAAACTTTCTCTTCAAAGGTTCTTCGGTTTCTTTCCAACCACACTTCCCATAAAATGACACCTCGTAAGGTCCTCCAAATAGAAACCCCAACTTTCGGTAAAGGAACCTCAAGTTGAGTAATCATGTGCAACACGTGTTGTGGGAGGGTAAGGTTGATCTCCAAATTTGAAAACACCACCACCATATTTTGGATATAAATGAGCAATGGATATACAGATGCGCCCCAGTTTCGTCATCTTCTTTACATATCAAACACACGTTTGTGATTATCTTCCCTCTCTTAATTAAATTGTCCACAGTTAGGACTTTATCTTTGGCCACTAACCATAGGAACACTTGCACCTTATGAGGAATGAGTCATTTCCGTATCTTTGACAAACTTGGAAGTATCCAACGCACTTTATCAAAGAAGAGTAGGCGATAGACAGATTTGACGGAAAAGAGATAGACAGATTTGATGGAAAAGAGACAATCATTTTCAATTTCCCACACCACTTCATCCTTGTCATGCTCCCTTGAAGAAGATTACTCGAGCTCTTGAAACAGATCGATAAGCGGTTGGTAAAGATAATTATGAATTCTATCATAAGGAAATATAATATTCCAGCTAGGTTTGTCATCTCTAAACTCCACCAAATCTGCAACCGTGGCTTGGGGGCAGCTAGTTTTTTTAAACAAAAGGGAAAAGGCATATTTCAAGGGTTCGCTACCCAACCATTTTATGGTTCCAAAAGGAGACCACAGTTCCTGAACCCACAAGCCATCGAACATTGCAATCAACAATCTGCTTGAGTGCATAGATATCTCTCCATAAAAAGGAGATGCTATCCCTCCCCTCTCTTCTATTAATCCACATCCCAAACCCATCCACATCATACTTTGAACGGAGTACTTTATATCTGAGTTGGTCTTTATTCAAGAGACTTTGCCACCACCATTTACATAACAAGGCAGCATTCATAAGCAATAATCTTCTCACCCCTAACCCTCCTTCACACTTAGGAGTGCAAACTTTCTCCCATCGAATAAGGCGGAATTTTCTATCATCTCCAAAAGAACCCCTCAAGAAGTTGTGCATCATAAACTCGATACGCTTTGAAACTGCCATTAGCATACGCAGAAGAGACATCTGATAAATAGGTGGGTTTGCTAGACAAGAGTTCAGTAAGGTAACTTGGCCCTCCAAGGATAAGTATTTAGGCTTCCATTAGTCTAGCTTAAATTGAACTCTCCGAATGACATTATCCCAAACTGAGATGGGCAAGTTTCCATCGGAAATCGGTAGCCCCAAGTATTTAAAGGGAAACTTATCTACCCTACACCCAAAACTCAAAGCTAAATCATTAACCATCTCCTCATTACAATTTACACCAATCATTGCCGTTTTTCCAAAATTTACCTTCAAGCCCAAAACCAACTCACAATAAATCAAAAACCTTTTAATCTTGTCAATTTGTTCACTATCAGCGTCACAAAAAAATAAAGTATCATCTGTATATTGAATATGAGAAATACGAGGAGCATTCTAAGAGACCTAGAAACCAGAAAAATACCCTTTATCCACAATATTAGAAATCATCTTACTGAAGCACTCGACATACAGGGTGAAAAGAAAAGGGGATAAATGGTCTCCCTGTCTTAGGCCTCTGAAAGCCTTGAAAAGACCTTTTGGGCTACCATCAATAAAAATAGAAAAATGTGTCGTGGAAAGGCATCCATAAATCCAATATCTCCACCTATGACCAAAACCCATGTGTTTCAAAGCTTCTAACAAAATACACTATTCAACTTTATCATAGGTTTTTTCACTATCCAACTTAATTACCACTCTCGGTTCTCTGCTTAAGAGCCTTGAATGAATGCATTCTTGAGCAATGAACACACTGTCAGAAGTTAACCTATTTTGGAAGAAGGCCGACTGCTTATCAGAGATAATCAAAGGAAGAACCACCTTCAGTCTTTCAGCCATGATTTTTTTCGAAATCTTATAGAGACTCGTGAGGAAGCTGATGGGTGTAATGTCAAAGAGAGGAAATAACAGATTTCTCAGGAATTAAAGCTATAAAAGTAGCGTTAACTCCCTTAAAAAGTTCTCCTGTCTCCATAAAGTCCCTAACCATATCCAACAGATCACGCTTAACCAAATGCCAAAACCGTTGAAAGAAAGATAAAGGGAAACCATCCGCACACCAAGAAGTTTAAAAACAACAAACTTAAGTTCCATTGAAACCTCTACCTCCAAATTGTTTGTATCAAATGCTGACATAAATATATGTATCTATGTAATAAGGGTTGTTTTTCAATAATTCTTTTGGACATGTGTTTAATGGAATGGCTGATGAACTAGGCCATTTACCTTGACACAAGGAAGTAACAATCAATCCTAACCGTCAGATGTGGAAGTGGGTAGTTGTCATTTTTGCATTGGAGTCCCCAAATAAAAAGTTATTAAACAGTGGCATGGTTACATCACACACCCCTTGCCACTTGATTTCCATTTGATTGTGACCATTTGTACCAAAGGTCAATCATCTCATTATATAGTTAACCACAATCATCATCCTCATTGTCAATATCTTTTTCCAATTAATTGGGATCGACTACATGAATCCTTATCTACCATTATGCTCTATTAAGGACCATACCCTCTGTGAAGCTAAAGGGTAATTAATCTATTATTAAGACATTTAAAAAGAATTAAGAAACTTTTTTAATTATCAACCGGCTGCTTTTCATTATGATCATGGTCACTAACTTATGGGTCATCATCCTCTAATCAATTGGATGAACGGTGATGACGGATAGCAGTGACAATTTATTGGTGGGACTCACACCTCATCACCATCAAAACAAACAATGGAAGGGCAATGAACTCTTTAAACCATTTTGTTATCATGACCATGTGGATCATATTGTATTTGCCCATATTTTATGTTGAATGAGTGCAACCGAGGCTACACAAAAAACTCGGCCTCGATTGCCCATTTTTTAATTGGGTGGGGATCATAAAAGCTTCAAAATGCTCCCAAATGTTTTTTTCTTTGGCTTGTTAACGATGAGAATGCATGATAGGATGTAATGTTGAGACATCAACCCCTTGACCGCTGATGCCCCAACCCTATTCCCGTGCCTCCAGTTCGATCTCCAACGTAAGAAGATAAAATTTGGAGCTCTCAAGAGAACTATGAATAATCAACTTTTATGCTCTATATGCCAGTTGGGAACTAATCATTGTTGTATCACTTTTAATGGAACATAGTTTAGCCTGAAATTAGGTTATGTATTATCTACTCAATGAACGGATCCGGATCAACCAAATTGATGATTTAGATGTATAGAACTGATGAAGAATTTATTAAAAAAAATAAAAAATAAAGTCAATGGATTCATTGGGCTTGGGGGTAGGGATCACCACCACCAAATCAGATCCAAATTGGCAATTCCCATTCTTAAGCGTTGGGTTTTAAAAACTTGGAACATAGTATAGATGAGAGTCGGCCCACCAAACATGTCACCGATTGAAGTGTCAAAATTACTCTGATATCATCGTTTTCGTTAAGGGATTGTATACTATGAGTCCATTTGTCTTTGTTACAAGAAAGTACTCCTAACCCAAAATGTGTTTCACGAGAACCTCTTGAATTATAAAAGGCAAAGGTTAAAATAAAGCCAAGGCTTTAATTAAAAAAAAAGAAGTAAAGCACTGCCTTAAAATTTGCCGAAAATTATAGTTTTAGCATCGAAAAATCTCCAAATCGATCCTTCCAACATTGATCATCATGGTTGGGAAAAATAAAAAGGATTTCAAAGCTTAAAAATAATATATATTGTAAGTTACAATTTGTAACACATTATCCAAATTGTCTATTGCAGATATTTATGAATCTACAAGATCTGTGCATTTTTTTCTAGCTACAAATCTTAAGATCAATCGTGCAGGCGGATTTTAAAGCAATATTAGGAATTCCCAATACCCAAAATTTTCTCCAAACAAGTATTTGAGGAGAGGTTTCATTTTTTTTTTTTGTCTTCCATGAGGCCCAGGCCTAATAAAAACTATATTCGCTATAAATGGATAGTCTACAAAATGACCATTTATCTTTTGTATGTAGATGTCACAATTATTCCCGCTCATTAGATATCAAATCGGATGGCTTGGTATGATAATTTTTTTTGAAATTTTCTATATATTCAATTGGACTATTACAACAATCTATTTTGAAATGTAAGGAAAAAAAATGATTGTATTTTGTAAACGATCCTAGTTATGAAACTGTCACTCTTTGAATATTATAGAAAAATAATTTAATAGGGTTACAGCCTTATCAAAATAATTAAAGCCTCAGCTTGTAACTTACAGAAAATTACAATTCAAGCATAGAAAATCCTGTACATGAATCATCTTGGCTAAAATATTATGGTTGTGCAATAAATTAGAATTTTAAGATTTAAAAAGATTGTATATTGTAATCCATGATCTAGAATCTTCTATTTCGCTCAAGATAAGTGTTCAACGATATTGAAGATCTGTACTATTTATTCAGTTTTAAATTTTACTGATGGCATTGAAAATATATTTTAGAGCATCGTGGAGATTTTCGTTGTCGACAGTACTTTTATTTTGTTTTTATAAAGCCGAGGCCTTATAGAAACTTCATCCACGATCATATCCTCATTTCTTTTCTTTCAGTGAGAGCAATGGAGTCTGGAAGTTCTCCTCCATCTCCTGGTGTTGCACCAGTTACACTCTCACACTGTATTTCTGAGCTGGTGAGGTTCATACTATCGCTTCATCTTGAAGAAACCCAAGAATTTGATCTAGGGCTTACTAAGGATTATTGTTTCTCTCTCTTGAAAGAACAAGAGCCAGTGACGCTGCATCCTCCCCACCATTGTTTAGATGGAGGTATTTTGATCTCAATTTTGTCTTTCTAAATGTTGTCGTTTCATCTGTTTTATCTTTCTATGGGTTGTATCTGGAAAAAGGATCTTGAATTTTTTATTTCTGGAAAATTTCGTCCATTCGCTCTGGTTTTGGTGAAAACTGCTACCATGGAAGAATATTTATCTGAGTTTCAAGTTAAAGATGACTCAGTTTGAATTTGATTCTTTTTTTGTGTGCTATTTTGTGCAATTAGAAGTGGTTTTGTTGATTTGTTCAACTTCCGAAAGATCAAGTTAGATTATTGCTCTTAGTTTATTTTGGATTCATTGTTCAACAAGAATTGTTTAATAACATTTTAGTTATACCGTGATATTGATCCTTTCTCTTTTTGATTCTTTGTCTGTGCGTATTCTCTTTTTTGGGTAAGTAAAACGGGATGTTGTGCCAGGATTCGAACCCTGTCCATGTGAATGCTTAGGCGTAAACACTAACCAGAGAGTCTTAACAACTTAAGTTGTCTGTGAATATTCCTTCATGGTTATATTTCCAATGATTATTTTCATCGATTTTCTCTGTGAATTTTGTTATAGCTACTTGAAAATTTTGTTGAAAACAATTGCCTCCAACTAATTTGACTTGTGTTTTCTTTTCTGATACTTGAACCCACAAATGTCTTTTTACTTTGACAATAATAGCATGTTATTGATAGTAGACACCCATTGTTCTGAAATTGTGAAAATGATGTACATTTGGGTGCTTTATGTTTTCTCTATTGGAGAAGGATTCTGGTCTGATTTATTGGATGCCTAAGAAGTTATTTTTTAATGGTGTATGGATTAGGAATTCGAAATTGGTTCTACACTCTCAGGCGACTAAAAGTCTTAGTATCAATAATTTGAACATACCCACTATAGATTTTTGGTAAAGAAAGATGTTTGAAATAAACCTTTTTTTTTTGTGGGGAGGGTGGGGGTGGGGTTAAATCAGTGGGGATTGAATAACCTTGTTCTGATAGGGATTATGCTTCTTATCTAGTATATTTAGCAATCTCGGTTCCATTTTAACTTGAGCGGTGAACTTGAGGATCCTAGAGCTGTTTATTCTTATCAGATATTGGTGCAGACACTTTTGCAGGGGTTCCCCCATATCCCTTATACAATCAGCTGGCATCAGCAATAGATCAATGCATATCTTCTAATAGTGTTGAGGAAATATCGGAATCAATATGGAAATGGGGGGATGAAGCTTTGATATCTAAAAAAAATGAGTGGCAGAAGTTGATTATGTATGAAGGATCACAGTTGGTGAAAGTAAGCATTATCTTTATACAACTACTTGGACAATTGATTGATGGTATTATGATGTGCACTGTTTTATGCAACTAATTCAACATTATATTATTGTGTATAGATGTTGCAGGGTGTGAATTATGAGCTACATGTTCAAGAACCTTTCTATTCACTGTTAAGGGGTATTCCTTCTTTTCCACACACACCCATGAATATCTTTACAACCATGAATATCTTCCTGTATGTTAAGGTGCATTACAACCTAAATCTGGTGATATATTTTGGTTGATAGGCTTTGAGTTACTCAAGAGAGATTGAATGTCCTTAGTCATTATTTTTGTTGTCTGCAGTGGGGAGAAAAACAATTGAAGGGAGGTGTGCTATTGGCAACTACAAACAGTAAGAATATTTTAGTTTTTGTCGTTAATACTTGTTTCGTATCTGCAATGAAGATTCTCACATGTATTTTTCATTTGAAAGCTACCAATGATTGCGCTTCATTACTGAATATGGTCTCATTTTATTGAGCTCGTAACTTGCAAATGCATCTTTCAGCTAAAGCATTGTATCTCCATTGGATCATTTTGCTACTCGAAAACTTGAATTGATTTGGATTTCACAGGTTGCTTTCTAAGCAGACTTGGTTTTTATTCGAACAGTGTTGGTTTGAGTGAAAGAGTTTTACATCGTTTGTTACTCCATCAAGAAATCACATAAGTTGCATCTCTCCAGTTCTATTTTTTGTATATCTCATTTTGAATTTCCTTCTTATTTTCAGAATTTCATCAGGAGACATGCTTCTTATTAACAAATGTTTAATATTAGAAGTTCAGGTAACATCTTCATATAATTTGAAGACATGGATTATATGTTATGTTTATTCATCATGTATTGCAATTGATGTTATGTATATTGGTTCCACATCTCAAAGGCAGTTTCATGCTTTATTTTTTATGTATAAAATATCAAATTTATGCTGTAGATAATATATATGAGTGTGATTGTGTGTATATCGTTATTTGAAATGTTGTGGCACAAAAGTGTCAATTTTTCAATACCTATTGGTAAAATATTTATAAAAACCTCGGTTTTATGGTATCACTGCAAATGAAGGGAAAATAGAATCTTTGCATGTTTCTATGCATAAGTTGAACACGAGTAAGCCCCCACTTCTAATGTATATTGTATGTACAAGAAACAACTTTCATTGTCTGCTGATAAATAATGTACATGCTTTTGCTTTCAAATACTATGTACTTGTGTTCGCTATGTAAGCTCCCATTCACATTAATACATGGTTGTACTGATTCAAGGATGTATCTTTCTACCTATCAGGAAAAGATTCAGTTTCTCTGTTTGAAAAGCCTTTCATTGCTATCGTGTGCTACATAATTTAGTGAGTAAAGGAGTAAATGAATACATAGAGCGAAGTCATTATCTTGAAATAGCATTTGTGTATATCTGTCTCTGAAAGGGTTTACATCCCTGTGGACACATCTTATTTTGCAGGATGTTAAATGGTACAGCTCATTCTATGATATGATGGAGGCAGAGGGTCTCGAAAAGGTTCTTCCTGGTGTCAAAACACTTGATGAAGGTGAATGTCATAGGCTAGCCTTAGAATGCATTAATTTTGTCTAGGAAGGAATCTGTAGAATTTTTGCAAAATGCTTTATGGAAATACTTACAATGGCTGCAAAAGTTCTGCATCCTAATGTTTCTCCAGTCATATTCACCAAGATTCAGGCTGTGGTTGGCTAGGCTGAATAATCAGTCCTATTGACTAATGTCTTCTATCCTTATAAAAACATTATGAGATTGTTACAATTATTTAAGAAAGGTTAGAGAATATCATGAAAATCCTTTAAAATAGTGAAGATGATATTTTTTGAATAATCTAGGAAAACTAGAAAAACCGACAATTCATATTGAGTTCCGGTGTGCAGATCTATCATATTAAATTTGACAGTGACAATAATTTAAATATTATGGGGCATTTTCTATTATGTCATATTTTATTTTTTGCTGTTCATCTAATATGAATTAGAATTCTGAAACTTTGAGCAACTTTACTTAACTTTTTACTGAAAGCTTCTAAATAAATTTGAAATTTGGTAACCTCCATATTTGAGAGAGAGATAATCCATGTATCTTTATACTTGGTTAACAATTCATTCTATCATGAGTTTTTCTACCATGTTTAAAATTAGTATATCTTGTATGACGTTCATTTTTGTTTGGTTATACATTGTTTGGATGGGGTTGACTTTTTTTTGAAAGTGGTTTGGATGATGTTAACTTGACACTAAACTTGTTGGGAAACCACTCAAGCTTGCTGGAAACGCTCTAGGACTTCTTTCCTAGGATTTTGCCATTGTCCCAAAGATAATAGAGGATTTTTTATATTGTTGGGGTTGCATTTGCTAGGAAGATGTTGCAATATGCTGATATGGTTGTCGTTGACCCTGGTATCACATTGCATAAACCATAGTTCACTATGAGTCGACTATGGCATGACTGTTACGTCCCTTGATCTGGTTAGAGAGAGAGGGTTTTGAGTGCCGAGGATGAAAGGCAAGTGGGGAGAGAGAGAGAAAGAGAGAGAGAGAGAGAGAGAGAGAGAGAGAGAGAGAGAGAGAGGATTTTGAGTGCTGACGATGAGAGGCAAGTGGGGAGATAAAAGGGAAGAGAGACAGAGATAGGTAGCTGGGTAGGTCGGTCGAACACCTTTTAAAAAGAGTTATACTCGTATGGATTTCCAATGAAAAGTCTGGCACATATATTTCCATAGAACATGATATCAAACAACATATGAATCCTTATAGTGGGTAAGCTTATCCTAATAGTGGATTATTAGTGATATCTGATGCATTCAAACAGAAACTGAACGTTTGGTTAGTTGTGGAAGTATTCTATGTGGTTGTCAGATATCTTACTGTTGCTTTGATTCATGTATAGTTTGCAGTTTCTCTTTTCCTGTCAAAGATATTCATATGATGCTTAGATTAATATCTACATTAAATTTTTTCTTCTTTCATCTGATGAGTGCTTGGACTACACTAGAATCAGAATGTATAAGACTGCAAAACTGTCTAGCTCGTGATGCCAATGCCTAAGATTAAGTCTAAAACCATGGAATATATCTGAAGAGAACGATTACCAACTCATGAACTATGTTCAAAGTTCTGATAAAGATTTATGATTATCAGGTGTAGGCATCTACCGGAGATTCTACACACAAGAGAAGGAAAAATGCCAGGGTGTACTAGGAATATGTGTTTCAAGACCATCAGCTCAGCCCTATATTTCAATGGCGAATATTATTTCTGTAAGTTTATTGAAGTCAGCATAGGACAGAATCTCTTGTTCCTTGGTCCGCAAAAATGTAGTCCAAACTTGGTACAGTTCCATAATATCCTGGTTATCTGTTACCCAGTTTTGTGTCTTTTGCTAGTTATTGTATATGTTGGTTTGAAGATTATTGTACTCACTTTGTGAGATTCAAAATGTTAATCTTAGGAGAGGTGGTAAGCACAATAGTATATGCAGTACACTCTTATGCTTATATACAATGACAAGAATGTCAGCAGGTTTACAGCAGGAAAGCATGATAGAGCCAAACTAAAGGACAAGAATGTTCTTGTTATTGTGCTAAATTTTATGGTTGTTCAATAGAAAAAGGCCCAAATCAAGGAGCCCTCCATTTCTGGAGTTATATAAGAAGCTGTGTTTTGAAAATGCCAGGACGAACCAGAATCACCCAATGTGAGCTGTTTGCTTCTTGGATGCTTGGAATGGCCCAAGGCCCTCCATTTTTCAAATTTTATTATTATTATATTTTCCTGATTCCCCACGGGTTTGTCAGGATGACCCAGGGGGTGATCGATTTGAAGTTCCGATCTGACTTTCAAAACACGTTAAGGAGTAACACATGATGTTAAAGATTTTGGTCTGGGTCTCCTTGCATGCATGTTGTATACAATTTTCAAGCAAATCTCCCTGCCTGAGTTGACACTACTATGTACTATTCTCTAGCTTTTGCATCTGTAACAATCAAAGTAATTATGTTGTAACCACTGGCCAGGGCTTGGGTTACGAAGGCGTAGGAAAGCTTTTGGGGTTGAGGCATACGACTGGTACAGTTTTGGATGGGCTTCCTCCACCTAGATCAGAACTTCTATCCTCATTTCTGATGCCTTATACACCAAATGTAAGATACATCTCTTGATATGGCCTGATTGTCCTTTGGCTCCATCAAGAATGTCTTATTCTACTAGAATTATAGAAGTGTGGCACTAATGGTCTAGTCTCATGAAGACAGCTCTCAGCATTATTTGCTACACATCTGCATGCTTGTAAGAGGACTTGGAACTCACTTATTGACAATATTGATTGGGGAGCACAAAATACACAATGAATTGACCTTTTAAATGATCCAATAGGCCTACTATAACTTACGTGATAGAGGATGTGAACAACCATTCTAAAAACTGTTCATGTTAATCTATTATCAGAGCTGAACCTTAATTACTTAACTTCTTCAATGGTTGACAATGGGTTTCTGCATGATTGCTGTACTTTCTGCAACTTCTGGATTTTAAACTTTTTCTTGTCCTCAACAAATGTTGCATTAATTCCCAGTATTTTGCTTTATTGACAAAGCTGTTAACTGAGCATAGATGGATCCTTCCTTGATTTTTGAAAGTATTTGATCAATTTCTGCATCCTCAATGTATTCAGTTTTTCAATCTCTTTTTTTTTTTTTGTGGTAATTAGTTTTTCAATCTCTTAATATAGGCTTTTTGTTTTTCTCCTTCGTGTTTCAATGTAAATTAGTTTCTGGAGTTTTTCAAAAAACTCATGTATCGGGCATCAGGCATAACCTCGTTCTTTCTTGACTTGTAAGAATCAACTTAAACATGAAAACATAGTGAGGTAAAAAAGTGTAAGTAGCTTTACTAAGAAGAAACTAATAATCATACCCGACTATTTTTCTCTGTATTTTTAGTTTCACCTATTGAGCTACCTTTGAGTTATTACCTCTGAGGGCATTTTAGTCACTCTGACCAAGTAAAGGTATTAATATGACTAGGTTCGTCTTTAACTTGGTTAAGTTACTTTAGATCATTTTCTTCACAAAACATACTCTAGATCATTGTTCTTATTTTGTCATCAGGTAATGCAACAAAAGGCAAGTTTGTGAGATCTAAACCCTACTTTGAAAATTTTAGGTCATTTGAAGATCTCCTATTCCTTTAATTGCCAACCTTGACTGTGCATTTAGTTCCTGAAGGAATGAGACTGTAAACTACTAATGTTCTATGTCAAAAGATGAGTTTGAACTGAGTCTTACACCAATATTTGAGGTTCCTTGCTAACTAGATGGTTGACCACTGGGTCGTAATATCAGAAGTTTGCATTTTGTTATTTGCTAATTGGTTTGTGATTAATAACTATGCATTTATGAACATGGTTTTGCATAAGCAAGGGATTGACCATTATCTTGTTATGTTGAATTGCATGGCATCAGACACCATCTTACATATATTTTTTTCCTTTAGGGTTCTGTAGCCATGCAGTTTATCTTTCAAATGTCTCACTGTTACACTGTTTATTAAATGAATGAAATAAAACATGAAAGGCAAATATAAGTAGGAGGAAACTGTACTGGAGTGTTTTTTATCTTAGCCTTGATGCTGGACCAACTTTTTCTTTTCTAAACATTGTTGGAGGCTAAAGGCAATCTCCTGACAGTTGGAGCAAGGGCTTTAGCCAAGCACGTGAGCCGTTGCGGGAAAGGATGGTGGGGACGTTTAAATCGCAATGGTAAGCATGTTTTTGAGTTGAATACGCTACTTTATAGACATAACCTTGGTTTAGATCTTTCCTATTGGATATGGCTCCTCATCATCACTATCCCTAGTTCATTAGTTCCTTCATATGTATCTATTATGATAGTAAGTGTTCAATGACTTGAATGAAATCAATTACCACTAAAAGGAGAATAGTGTTCTGTACTGGTAGCTTTTCAAAAATAAGTATTTCCTAACCAAGCTAAGTTATGCAGTTCATTTCAACTTTGTAGAATTTCACCTTTCGTTCCATCAAATTAATAAATTGAGTCTGCATCTTCAGATTCTCATAAAAATGCTCTTGCATTGGAAGTCATCTTTCACATTACGACTCATGCTTGTTGGATGAACATCCATATCGTGAAGCCTCATGGAGCTGTATTTGAAATTAGGGTCACTGAGGGTTATGGTGCCCGTTGGTCTGGTGATGGATCAAGGGTATGTGTGCGCTCTATGTTTCTCAACTATTAATTTTCGGGATTGTATACTTAGAGACCGTTTATCTTTTGTTACAATGAGGTCGCAATTGCTACTAGCGATTTGATGTCAAGTTGATGGCTTGGGGCGTGTCACAAGGTTTGAGAAGTTTTGTTTTTTTAACTTTGAGTCAAGTCAATAGTATACTCACAACCACCCGATTTGAGATCTGTGGACAAGAGTGATTGTGAGCTCTTTGTATTAAAAGTGAATGGTCTTTGTGTATATTTTTCGTTAATTTTCCCCTTTTTTGTTGTTCTCTTTCCACTTTTATCCAACTATTGTTTGAGATGTTCTTTGATGATAGACTCGATAACCTTCGATACAAAATGTTGTGTTTCTGTGATGGATTAGCCGTTTTCTCTGATGCTAACATTTCTTGATGAAACCTACCTTTAGATTTGCATATGTGAATTTATTTTTTAAAAGAACGAGACTCTCAATTTTTCTCCTGGAAATGTTTGCACCAGCTTGACTGATAGATAGGGAACCGGGCAATATTGTCATTGTAGTCCACTTCTTCATGCAAATATGCACATATTAGTTCTTGATTGTGAATATTACAAGGTTTTTCAAGTTTAAGAAGTAGAAATATTTTCTTCAGTGTTTAACATTTTCCCCTTTTCTGGGATCATAAGGAATTTTTACTTTTGAAGTATAAGAATTGCCTATATTTTTGGCGTGTTTCTGTGTGGGCATGAAGATTCTGATGGATTATAAACTGAATCTAAGTTTTGTGTTTTCCTCTCCAGTTTATTGGGTTTCTTGAGCCACACATGGATGATGGCCATTCAGTTGGAAACACTAGAAACAGCCAACTTTTTTCTCTTCGTGAGACTCTCTCTCTCTACCCAGATGTTGAGCAGAGTGACTGCAAATTCAGTGCTAACCATCATGACTGCAATCCCCTCTCCTTAGTCTAGATGCTTGCCATGAGAGCTGATTCTACCGATGCTTGCCCCGAGTGATGGAGAAATGATCAGAGAGGTGGAGTTTAGTAATGCATTAACTGTTGAATTTCAAATGGTGTTTGCAAATTCATAAGACAGGCAACCAGATTTTGAAGTTAAATGGAAGTTTGAATTTTTCTCACTAAATATAAAGTCAGTCGAGTGAAAAGCTGCATTTAACCATAGGGTAGAGTTGCATTGTAGAACAAGAGAATTCCTTGACAGGGTTATGTTAGATTATGTTAGGGGGCTCACATTATATAACATTTTATAATTGTACTCACTAGTACTCAATAAGGTAGAGTTGTTCTTCAATAAGGTAGAGTTGTTCTTAAAGGGTTATGTTAGGTTATGTTAGGGTGCTCACATTATATAACATATTATAATTGTACTCAATAAATTTTGAACATTTAGACGTCGTTTGGATATCTGGAAATATATTGTCTGTGAAATATATTACTGGCGTAATATATTACTATGTAATTATTGTTTTGGTAGTATTTAGATGCAATTTGAGAAATACATTGTTATTGTTTGGTTATGTTTGGAACAAATATAGGAAATGCATTACCAACATTTTACCAATATTTAGATGCAAACTGGAAACACATTGTTATAGTTTGGCTATGTCCGGAAGAAATATAAGAAATGTATTATCAACATTTTACCAGCCCGTATCTATAAACTATCATTTATTTCTTTTTTATCATAAAATTACACTAAAATGCAGAATTATCGTTTTTTTTATTTTTTGTCATAAAATTTCATTAAAATATACAATTAAAATCATCCTCACACCATTTTAAAAAGATTTCTAATAATAACGTTATAAACATTCTAAATGTTTTTTTTAATAATAATTTGTACCATTTTAAAGCCATCATGACATCATTTTTTACTTATTTTACATACCTTTGGCATTTACATAGAATCACATGGTTTTTAACGTGATAAATCATAAGAACAATATGATTGGAATAACATGATTTTGTTATGATAAATATTATTTTTATTTATTTATTATAGAAGTCTTTCAAATGTTTATCTATATAATTTCAAATAAACAATAAATTTATGATATTAAATTTAAAATCTCTATGATACGAGTTAAAAAATGGGAAGAAGTTTGATCAGTAAACTAAAAGGTTTGTTAATTGCAGTGTAAAATTTTGAGGGATTGGAGGGGACTAAAGATGTATGGTATTTCAATTGAGATTTTAGTAATTTTTTATGGTATTTCAATTGAGATTTTAGTAATTTTTTATGAAGATTATGTTGTGTGAAATTTTTTATTATGATTGTTTGATGTAATTTATCATTGATTATTGATTTTTATGTTTATTATTTTGTTTCTATATGACAGTTGATGCTTTCAGACGAGGGAACAAGCTTAAAAAGGGAGGGATCATTTTATTATAATATTTTTTTAATTAATGATAGGATAGACAAAATGTACCCGTTACCCCGTAATAGATTTTTCATCTTTCTCCGTGTGTAATGGATTTATTGATTTTTAGGTAAATCTCACGTAATATCTTTCCATTTCCTTGCGATTAAGTGTACCAAACGGTGGCAATGCTATATTTCATTGTAATCTATTTTCACGTAATAGATTTTCAGGTACGAAAGGGCTTATATACGCTTGTTTTATAATACAATATGTTTTTAATAAGGGCATTCTTGGTAATTAGGAAAAATGTGACATCATCCACATGGTTTTGGCATTACTCATATGGAGTATTAAATACCACTAATGTATTTTATGTAGGTGATGTCACATCCATGTATATGATGTCACACCTCTTCTTAAATGATAAAAAATACTCTTACTAAAAAAATGTTTCATGTACAAAATAAGAGTATATAAGTATCCAAAATTTGTTGAGTACAATTATAAAATGCTCACTAGTGGAGAAGTATACCGTCAGACCATTTATTTTCAGTACAAGGTTACTGTAGCCTTTGACTCTTAGATATAGGGGTGGCAACGGGTCGAGTATGGATCTGGCTGGACTCGGACCCAGACTCAAATGGATTTGGGTCTTAGTTTTGAACCCGGACCCGACCCGTTGGTTCCCAAAATTGGACCCATATCCGTTCCTGTGGGGTCTCAGGTCTACTCCATTATGTCTTGGGTCCATTGTCACCTTCACAATGAGCTTCTTTTTTTCTTTTCTGTTGCCTTTTTTTTAACCATCATATGTCCGTATTATTGGCAACAAGGTCTCAATCACCTGCTATTAGATTTCAAGCCGCAAGATTTGTCGTTTAATAGTTAAATATGACTACTAGTTCTAATTATATACGATCTTTAATACATCAAAATGAATAGGCCTTATAGTAAAGTATTTTATCTCTAACAGTTTATTGATGTGGGTTGGGTCAAGCTGGACCCGGACATGTATAATGTTCTGGTCCAAGTTTTAAACCCGGACCCGACCAGTCCAGTCCAATTGCAAGACCTATACCCGACCCAAGTCGGGTATACCTGGTGGGTCTCGACTTGGGTCTGGGTCCATTGCCACCCTTAGATGTGGATTTGGGTGGTCAAGCATGTGTTATTGATTAAACTTAAAGTTTGGACCTCTTTTTTTTCTTTTCCCATTTTCTGGCACCTCTTTAACCATCTTATTTGAGAGTTGACAACTAAGAGCAATCAAGACCATATTGTATCATTAGTAAATTATCTAATAGTTTACAATCCTGGTGTGATATTGTTTTTCGGATCTTTTTCCTTCCCCATCTTTGGAATGACATCCAATTTGTAATCATAGAGAAAAAGCTCATTTATTTATTTATTTATTTTTGGATAATTCAGTGGGAAAGATAGGCCCTACCAATTTTTTCAATAGATTGGGGAGTTACATATTGAAGGTGTTAATTGGGGGTGTCAGCGATACAAATGGATACCATGATGTGGTAACTGGGTGTAGGGATGTTACCACAACGACCCAGCTCCTTTCCTAAAAAAGCTCAAATTCATATACCGATTTCGCATAACGGGAAATTGTTTGGTGCGGCCAAACCTGTACTTGTTACCATGTGGGCTGGAGATCTACACCAAACAAAGTCTCTTAAGTAAGGGTGCGGTTTGTATAGAGTTTAGGCTCTAAACGATCAAATTGGAGCCTAACTTCAAATAGTGTCAAGAAATGTCTTTTCAATACTGGAAGTCTTTGTGATAGCCTTAAAGTATATTTTTATCTTTATTTATAAAGTTTAAAGCTTCATAAAGAGTGTAGATCGATAAATCTATAAAAACTTGAAAATCTTGAAAATTGATAGTTCAAAAATACGTTACGAAATACACTATCTTTATAACTTGAAATCTATGTTTTTTCTCGTGTCCATGCATCTTGATATCGAGATGATCAATTTGAGGATATTTGGTCATCAAAACAACCTCTTCTGGTGAAATTTTTGAGGTAGGCTCTAATTTGATTGTTTAGAGCCTCGGCTCTATATAAACTTTTCCCCTTAAGTAATAGTCTTCCAAAAAAAAAGTAAAATCAACTCTTCGAATATTTTCTCCAAAAAAATATGTTTCTAGTTTTTAAAAATTTATTTATTTATTTAGATTAATCATCTACATGTTAAAGATTATATATTCCTTAAAAATTAGGATAAAATTTTATTTCAAAAATAAATTATTAAGAGGCCCGCATTTTTGCATGCGAATATGTGGCTCGCATACGTGTCTTCGCGTAAAACACATTTATTTTGTGTCAAGAGCTCATCATATTTTTCAACAGTTTTCAATCTTTAATTTTTCATCAAATAGTGGAATAAATGAAAGAAAAGGAAGAATAAAAAACCCTCTTCTAGAAACAGAGGAAGCAAGAAGAATACAACGTATTTCTTTTCTAGGAAGAGGAAAAGTATAAAGAAATAGTAGAAATAGTTATATCGAGAGAGAGAGATTTTATTGACGAATAAAAAGAGTAATTAAAAACAAAAAGCATCAATAAAAAGAGTAATTAAAAAAAGAAAAAGCATGTTAGTGGAGTAAGAATCCCAATTTGTCTTCTGTTATGTTCATCTTCTCCTCTGGTTGGGCTGGCAGAAATAAATTATCTTTTAACTAAATTTCCCCATTATTTGTAAAGAATTTAATGTTCCCTCGCCAAACTGGATTCTAACCTAAAGCTATGATTTTACCATCTTGATCCGATGTGACTAAAAGCAGTGTTTCAATAATCAGAATTGGGGTCTAACATGCTCTAGATCTAATTCTCATTTGCCTGCTCTCACGTAAAAAACTTAAGTTAACCATCATTATTATCTTTGAGTTTTATTCCAACTATTTAAAATTGACATTTATAAAAAAAATAATTATTTTATGTGTGCTGAACCGCATTTCTACATTACGGTATGGACTGCATTTCTACACATGCGGTCCATAAACCATCTTAATGATGGATGCAAGTAGGTGTTCCATCTTAAAGCAATGGAAACTAAGGGTCCAAATGTTTTCTTACTAGAATTATTATTTTTAGTTTTTAAAATCCATCTCAAAAATAGATTTATTAAGAAGCCAGCATTTCTACATATGCCGATTTGGCCGCATAAAAACCGGGTCCTTATCAAAATATTATAAAAAAAAAAAAAAAGTCTCAGGCAGTTAACAAGAAAAACTATTAAAAATCCAAAAAATATTTTATAAATATAACAGATTTTAGTCAGATTTATATAGCCCCATTTGTGGTCGAAATTGGGATATTAGGCATTATTTCATTATAGGATTTTGACTAATATTATTGGGATATTAGGCATTATTTTATTATATGATTAATATTAGGATATTAGTTAATAGGGATTAAAAAAATATAGCACTAGCTCATAAGATATTAAAAAAGCAAAAACTATTACTAATACTAGTTTATTGAACAGTAAAAAAAACAATAAAAAAAAACAATACTAGTTTATAAGATATTTTAATAGAGAAAAATAACATTAGCTCATACCACTTTAAAATTTATTTTCAAGTTGCTTTATCAATTATCCCAAATTGCAAGTATGAATTTATTTATTTATTTTCCTACTTTTATTAAAATATGATTGTAAATTTATGTTTCTAAATTCTATA